CTACCTAAATACACGCTAAATATTCTAATTCCATAAGAGGCAATGGGAGTGGCTGATAATTCACATAAAACGCCATCACGATGTGTTGCTTTTTCAGGTTTTATCTTCCCAGCGATCCTCCGCCTGACAGAGTGCTCATCAACAAACCGCGTAAGGCCTTTTCATGTTTTGCGTAGAATAACAAAATAATCGAGTCGCGACGTAAATAGCCGCAGAACAGGGCTTTAGCAAAGTGAAAGTTGTTGCATAGAAACTTACCAATTAGTCGATGGAACTCAGGAGCGAACAACTATGCTTGCAAAGGAAATCTGGTCGATTCTGTAAATCTGACCTAGCTACGTTGCAGAAGAAGGGTTAGGCGCCCGGTTTCACATTGGCATAGCATACTCATGATTGGGTGTTTTGCCTCAAGAATTCTAATGAGAAGGAGATGAAGGATAGGAGGGATTACATCTCCTAGTGCTTACCAAAACCGTTTGTGGACACGCCCCAGCGCTTCAACTCCACTAAAAATTGCAGTGGCTGTTTGAAAGCGTGTGCGGCCTATATAATAACATATGGTGGTTGGACGATGAACAAATCTGGGCTTTTCCCTCCCAGACCAACCTGGTACCACTTAAACGACCCCGATGGGATGAAAGGCTGGGGCGGCTTGGGCGAATATCCGATTGTTGGACATGACGCGTATGATTTCGCGCCACTTGCCTGTATACCACCTTCACCCTCCAAGGACAGTTAGAGGAAATTGGAGGGTGAAATGAAAAGTTCCCGATTGAAAGGCATGGGAAGATTTCTAAGGTAGTGAGAGGAAATTAAAGCATGGAATGTAAAGTTTTCGATTGTGCACTCTTGCATTTGACTTCGTGACCCTTTCTGCGTAAACCTATTCCCCAGCGGATTGGACTTCTGTGCAAAAACGAATTACTACGTCATAAGCATGGCTCAAGCGAAATGACGTATTCCAGTACCTCAAAAAATTGGATCGATGAAAGGACCACCAGAACTCCTGCGGTGGGAGATACAGAGTTTATGACTATGCATATAAATGAGCTCTTATGGTTTCGTGCTTTACTGCAAGACGAAATCGAAACGGGGCAGTTTGAGGCATTTGAGACAAGCACAGCCACAGGATGGTGAGATTACGATTTGTTTGTGAGTTCCTTGAGTGGCCCTCCTGACAGGCCTTTTTCAAGATCTAATCAGTATTCATATAATAGGATTATCATTAGGCTCCGAAGCAGTCGTGTGAGGAAGTACCACGCGAGGAACCTTTTTCGTAAAAAGTTTTATAAAATACTACGTGCACTAATGGGAACTCTACTAATAAAAGCTTCTAGAAACTTCTTGACATTCAGAAATGCCCACATTGGATGTCCTTCTTTGTTGAGTGAGGAGGTAAAAAAAGTAGAGGTTCATTCTTCGCGTGGATGGGTTCTTTGACGGATTAAGAACANGTGCACTAATGGGAACTCTACTAATAAAAGCTTCTAGAAACTTCTCGACATTCAGAAATGCCCACATTGGATGTCCTTTTTTTGTTGAGTGAGAAGGTAAAAAAAGTAGAGGTTCATTCTTCGCGTGGATGGGTTCTTTGACGGATTAAGAACAATAAAGAATACTTTATGAGGATAGTCGGGGGTAGTGCTCGTTTTCTGATGCCGAATGTCATTAAGAACATAGTCATGTCGGCTCATTAATAAAGTCCCTTTATGTCTCCAACACTGAGATCCGAAAAAAAGACAGAGATTGATGTGGGAAGCGAGTGAATTCATAGCGGAACACACTCCAGTCGATGAGACAGCCACAGGTACGCAACGGCCATGATTCAGCGTGGGGTTCCCCTGAG